AAATTCCGTCATCCGATCGGTGCTATCATCTTCTGTTCTCGAGATATTTCATTGACACTAAGCAACTCATAATCACCCCCATTTAATAAATATGATGATAAATTGCTTGTTGATGCTCCCCCCTGGACTGACTACATGCTGCCAACCAGGAGCCGTGTGGATGCCGTGTGGATGCCGTGTGGATGCCGTGGGGATGCCGTGGGGACGCCGTGTGGACGCCGTGTGGACGCCGTGGGGATGCCGTGGGGATGCCGTGGGGATGCCGTGGGGATGCCGTGGGGATGTTGGCGTGGAGAGGCTCAACGACGGCCTCTGTTGGCTAGGGTCCCTGATTGGTAAGGCCCCTTATCCGCCGAAGGTAGCGCTCGAGACGGACCATTTGCCTTATTCTCCTAAGAAAATACAAAATTACGAATAAAGTCAGATAATGAGAATACAACATGTGCTAATTCATTGAGATATTAGAGAGACAAACCTTACGAGTTGGGGCGTAGTATACGACAGTATTGTCAATAATAATTAGAACACTTAGAGGATAATGGAGAAGGACTGCCCAGAGTGAAGCTTCCATTTACAAATCAAAAATTAAATATTATTATGTAGAATTAAAAACGGAAGAAATCACTTTTGTATAAAACTGAATGATTTTATTCAAAAAGGAAATGGTGGTTTATTAAAAAATTTATAATCAATTTTACCTATGTGATGATGGACTACCGATTTTCATTGCAAAATTATGTCATCTTGTTGAACAGAGAAATCTACTAAACTTGGTTGAGAAATATTTAATAGAGAGGGTGCAAAATCTCAGATTTTACCACTTTATTTCAAGAGATGGAATTTTTTGTTTGAGCTGAGATTGAGGATTAACACTTAATATTCGTACTGCTCATAAATCACTTGCATTTCTTCCTTATTATTTGTTAATTTTTATTTTAGCAGATTCTATGCATGATACATTCTGAAATGAAATCATTGGATGTGTACACTAACTCACTAACTTGTTCACTAATTAATGTCTTAACTAAATGAGTGTTTGTTGTAATGTAAACTTTAAGTACAATTGAAAGGTGTTATAAACATAGTGAGAAATCTACAAAAATTTAAAAAAAGCAATGGCAATTTCTAGAGAGCTGATTACTACTCCTTCTATTTTTATAATGCATTGAAGTGTCATATGCATTGTGCTCCTCTCTCCAGGCAGAAAATCAAAATCACAAATTAGTGTTTTGATGTTATTAAAGAAACTTATTCATTATGGGTATGATTTAGTTATAAACAATCACTTTGAATTTGACAAAAATATTCATCCCTTAGGCTTATCTTATTTTTGGTGTGCATCCTTGTTGCTTGAAATTATAAAATATGCCAACTCTTGAAAACAAGTCTCCATCCTTTGATTCTTGTAGCTCTTTCTTCATAATTTCATTTAATTGTTATGCGTCACTCATGTGTATGCTCAGTTTGTTTTTTGAAAATTTCATTTGCAATGAAATAGAAAAAAATGCCATCTAATAAAATTTACAAATTCTTATATGATATTATGTATTAATAAATAATTTATGTAGTAAAAAAACTGGTCAGAGACTTTTGATAACCAGTATTTATGGATTATTCATAAAAGAAGAGATTTGTTTTCAACAATTACAACCATTCAATTTTAAAATATTTTGATTAGATAACTTTAATTAACAGGTATAAGCCAAGATTCCAAACATTTCTTAATAAGAATCGTGAAATTCAGAATCAAAAAGCAATATCATTATTTGTCAAAATGTTTTGAAAAAAATCCTGAAGAGTAATAAAGGTAAAATATTGATTTTGTTAAGTTTTCTTCACAATTGGTAGTATAGAGTTCAATCATTTAATAAATTTCAGCCCCATGAATTTAACTCTTGATGATTCACTTTGGCAAACGTTTTTCTTTATAACAAGTTTATATGCCTGCGTAGGAATTTATTGCATTATCGTTGTTAATTAGATGTATACATGAAGGTTATTAAAGAATCTTGTTTTAGAATATACATAATTTTCTCCTTTTTAAATTATTGACAATGTTTATAGTATTGTTGTAACTCATTCATTTTGTATTGTTAAATTACTTATTAACATATTACTAACAACATTTTGGGAAACCCTTGTTTCCATCATTAGATACAGGAAAATAGTGAAAATTCACACATCTTATATTTTTGTACAATGTAATATATTTAGACAATTATGGAATAAAAACATACTTACTATATCACTAGGCAGATGGACTTAATGACTTGTTCTGTAAACTTCAGTGTGGATGCTTCTGTCTTCGAGTTATCCATTTTGTGTAATATTAAAGTACTTAATTTCAGTTCCAAATTTTAAAAATCAACACACTGCTCAGAATAATGTCTTCAAATTCTGGATCTCTTCCTATTCACATTTTTCATTTTCATTCTACAAAATTCTACAAAATTTTCTGGTAGAATAATTGCAAAGTTGAGAAATGCATATTGCAGTTCTATTAAGAAAATTGACAAAGTATTTATTGATGATCTATGTCAATACAGTACAATAATTATTATAAGTTACATTGTTGCTGAAATCGAATGTACATTTAAGACCAACGTCTCCCTGGATCAATGCTCTGAAAGGTCTCTACCGATAATTTTATAATAATATAAAAATAAAATTTTATATTATAATAAATTTTATTATAATAATTAATTACAATAAAATAAAATAATCGGTCTCTATACCGATAACTTTCAAAGGAAAACTTTAATATAGAAAGTGTGATATTTTCCCAGGGTTCACTGTTCTACAAGAGTCAATTTTCTTGTAAGCTGAGATGTGATTCTAAGGCTTTAGGGGATGAGATATTGAAATCTAGAATTAAAAATTTGCTATCAGGCACAGTATTTGAGTTATTTTATTTAATTAAATTTTGAGGTATAGTGGGAATGCAACATGGCAACTCCAAATATGGATGTTTTCTGTGCAAGTGGGATATCTGTGACAAAAATACCCATTACAAAAGGAAGATTTGTCCTCAACACTAATGGTAAGTGGAAAAAAAATATTCAGAAAAATAAATTGGTTGTCAGCAACATTCTTTTTTTTCTACATCATATTACGCTGCATCTTACGAAACAGTCAAATTCTTGAATCACCTGGGATGATGTTTATTTATCTTTCACAGAAGTTTCTTCAACTTTCAGCTGCAAAAATAAAGGAAGGTGTGTTTGTGGGTCACCATAGGTCAAATTAGAGAACGTCTCAAAGATATAAATTTTGAGCAATGCCTAACACCAAACGAGAAAAACATATGAATATGTTTCAAGAATGTAACCAAAAACTTTCTAGAGATAAAAACAACAAAACAAACAAATAAAAAGAACTAGTTGAAGAGTGAGCTAAAAAATGCATATAGGTCTTTAGGATGCAACATGTAAAAGTGTATTTTCTTCATTCACAATTGTTATTTTCCTGGGAACTGTAATAACATTTCCGAAGGACTTAGTGAAATATTTCATAAAAATTTAATGACCATGGGAAAGCAATACAATGGGAAATGGATGCCTCCAATAGTTGCAGACATCTGTTGGAATATTTGAGGATGCAAGAAAGATTTTATGAGAAAAAAGAAACCTGTCTAAATTCTAAGGGGAGAGATGATTTTGTTACTATATTCTGTCTGAAAATATGTTTTTTCTTACAATGTATTGCATTTTATAGGTCTATACATGCTGTTAGTTTTATTCAGATTGGAAAGTTCTTTTACAATATTTTTCACAAAATATAGGAGACTAATCATTACATATTTTGTTAAAAAAAGAGGCAGAGAGTGGAAAGTGAAGTAAAAAGAAATTTTTTATAACTAGAAGGCTGTGCTTGATAGGAAGAACTTTTTTACAGATATGAATTCAGGAAACACATTTCCACATGAATCACTATTGTTTACCTCAGAAAAATGATTTTCATTTTTTTGTAGAATAGTGTTGTTAATAATCACAGTAGATTCATGACCAGGCAGTAGAAATTAGAAATTGAGATCACAGGATTTAATCAGAGAAAAGAAACAAAAAAATTGACTTTGCCAACATGATTTTTGAGATAATCTCTCTTACTGTAACCAATCAATGTGTAGTTTTTTTGAGTTTTGCAATGCGTGTCTATGAGAGGATATAAACATTTTGTATTTTTTCAGTAAGATTGGTACAGTTTTGTGACCATTATGTACATAATGCATTTTTAAAAAGACTATTATCTGTTTTTTCTAAATGTTTATTTCTAGCCATGAGGATGGAATAAAAGTATTCTGAAATACTGGCAAACTCAATATTTTAATTTACGCTGACCAAATCCTGTGATCTGAATTTCCAGTATTATTAACATTCATAATTCAATGATGATAATCTTGACCTTTTAAATTCTGAAGTACATCAATTGCATTGAATCATTAATTTTATTACTATTGCAAATATTTTCACCATAACTAATTACTTTTGAGTGCAAGTAATGACAAATCACAAAAATTTTAAAGAAAATATTGCTTTCGTAAGACATTTATAATAAGAAAAAAATCTTAAAAGAGAATTAAGTAATATTTGACCCAATGAATATCTGGATATACGTTTATTATATTATCAAAGATACCATTTTCCCCTCAAGGACATTAGTTACTGTGAATTTATTTTCCATAAAAGAACATTTTATCAAATATTCTTAATGTTGACATATATAGGATTAGTATGCAAAGCATAAAAGGGACTATAACACATCAAAAATGTCTTTCCAATTGCATACTGGAATATATCTGTTATGATTTTGGTGGCAAATATACTAACTCCCAACGTTGAAATTAGTTTGTTGAATTATTTTGATAGGAGAAATGGTGTGAAATAAAAAAAATTGTTCTTTATTTCATAAGAATTTAATAATATTACGGATACAAGTTAGAACTGAAGATCATTAAAAAGAACATCTTCAAATGAGCAAGGACAAACATTTCCTGTTCTCACTCAGGTTCTTTTATGCTGGCTTGGATGGATTCCAGCTTGGTCTTCAGTTTGCCAAGGTTCAGAATAACTTTTAAAGGAATACCATCCTTCTCTGGAATAAAGAACAAAAGAATTGTAAACAAATGAAAAATTGAGGGTAATATTCTTTTCAAGAACTGAAAAGATGAAGAACATACCATCTCTAATTTTGTCAAGTTTCTTCAATGTTGTTTTGAGTATTTTATATATTTTTTTTATCTCTTTCAATTTTCTTAAAGTTTTGTCGGGGCATAATTGAAACAGCTCCATTTCCTTTCGTATCTGGACAGCGCAACGAACTGCTTTCCTCATGAGAATTTTTTCTTGACTTCGTTTCATCATATTTTGGCTGTTGAATTTTCCACTTCTGTAATAAACTCTCCGTTTAGTTACACACGTTGTACATAAACTAATAATACAAGAGAATTTTTAAGTTTATATTACATAATTAGCGATGTAATTGCATCATAAAAGCCTGTTACCTGCAAGTTCTGTATCCTTGCCCCCAATGAATTTCAGTCACTAATATGTGTTAAAAGATACCATTGATAACAGATAGTTCTTTCTCGGCATATCGTACACCAATCGACAGCACTATCGATCTTGACATGCGCAGATGCATTGAAGCAAGACAATCTGTAATACTTAGAGATATTCTTGTTAGAAGAGATGCGAAAATCGAACTGCGGATGCGCGGAATATCGCTAGTGCTATCGATTGCTATAACGCCTCTCCGTGCAAAAGCTCACCAATAATGTAAATCGACTATTAAGTTTCGATAAATCATTCTTCATTTTTTTGGGTAACTTCAAGCGTCACCTAAGACATTGTAATAGAATATTATATCCACGAAGATCGCTAGTGTAGCGTTGCGAATTGTATCGCTTCCTGGCAGCCATGTTGGGGGCAGCCAGGGGGGATACCAAACCGGATTGGAGCCGGATTTAATTCTCATTTTTGTGTTTGCGCAAGTGGTGGAATATTCTGTAAGATAAGAAGTAAAATAGTGAAGAATCGTGCGGTTTACGAATGCATAAATCGTGCGACGAAAGCCTGCACGACGTAATTTAACAAGTATATCATTTAATTGATATAGCTTATTGAATGTGCTGGCAAAGTTTGCTAATTAATATGTTCGGAAATAAAAATAAAATCGATGAATTTTAATTGCACCAGAAGGGACATTAATGTAACTGTAAATTACCACTTTCTTTTGCAGAGAACTTGTGATTTCTCTAAAGTAGATAAAGAAGTATCTAAAATTCAAAGTTAATAAAGGAATATCGAGGCTGGTGGAAACTTAAAGAACGGCTATATTTTAACATAGATACACATGATCATTTACTCCAGGTATATCCATGCACTATACTAAACTTTCTTATAAGTCGTTGATATCAAAAGTGGTCTACGTCAAATTTGAGTTAGGTGCACTGGTAGGTGGTTTTAACATTGTTCCATCACGGGCTAAAATGGTGTGAGTCAAACTTCAATATTCCTTCGCTAGAGACCAGAACAATGCAGAAGTAGCAAACAAGTTGCTCTTACCGCTGAATGTCATTGTGGTGTAAGTCACAGGTGGAACAAAACAACTTCCAGGGGTCACAAGAAATGGCTTCTTGTTTACCTGTACCCACACAGAAGAAGCATCTTAGGGGGAAAAATAAATTGCTTTTAGTGATATGTGCACAGGTCAAAATCGCAACGTCAAACGAGGAAAATAAAAAGTAAGAAAGCCACCGGACTAGAAGGAATTCCTAATGAAATAATTAAGGTTGTGGCAACGGAATACCCGGAATCCTTATTGAAGGCCTTCGATCGTTGTTTCAGACAAGGACGTTTTTAAAAACTGGAAGAAACAAAAACTAATTCTCTTACGGAAAGGAAACAAACCCCTAGACAGGACATCGCCGTTTAGGCCGCTATGCCTCTTGCGCACAATGGGGAAACACACAGAAGGGTTGATTCTCCAACGCCTAGAGAAACATCATCAGGAATGAATTTCTTGGATAGACAGCTTGGATTCAGGAAAAGGCCGATCGACTACAGCCGCAATAATGGATGTAGTACGTATAGAGGAATCTGCAAAAAGGGGAACAGGTGAAAAAAGGAAGTTATGCGCACTGGTTGTAATCGATATTAGGAATGCCTTCAACTCCACTAATGCATTAGTGGAGAAGAAGGTCCCAGATTACCTGCTAAGAATAGTTGAGGGCTACCTATCTGAAAGACAGATTATATACTCGGACGTTTTTAGCTGCCTGCCTGTCTGTACGGAGGATTTGCAAGAACTCAGACAGCGACTATACAGCTGCCCACCGATACAGCCCTGAAGCTCTTGAAGAAATGTAAAGGCAGAATAAAAATAGTTTGGATCAGGAATGAATTTCTCGGATAGACTGTTTGGACACGAAAGACCGATCGACTACGGACGCAATACTGGAAGTAGTACGTATAGTGGAAACTGCAAAAAAGGGGAACAGGTAAAAAAGTTCTGCGCATTGATTGCCATCCATATTAGGAATGCCTTCAACTCTGCTAGCTGGAAAGATGTTATTAATACATTGGTGGAGAAACAGCTCCCAGAATACCTGCTAAGAACCATTGAGTACTTCCTTTCAGAAAGGTATATTATATACTCGGACGTTTTTAGCCTTGAGGAAGAAATGGCATGCGGAGTCCCTCAAGGACCCACGTTGTGCACCTCTGTGGAACACCAAGGACGACGACCTACTGAACATTGAACTCCCACAAGACCCTTCACTGATCGGATATGCAGACGATATGCTGATCATCAGCCACAACGATAACTAAAAGTGCTGGAGATGGACTTAAATGAGGCCCTTTAAAGGGTCAATAGATGGATGAATAAAAGTCGCCTGCAGATGGAAGTTGAAAAGACGGAAGCAGTACTAGTTATTAACAAAAGAGCTTTTGGATTCCCGCGCATCACCTCGAGCGGAATAAATATCACTTGGAGCCGACAAATTACATACCTGGGTTTGACATTGAACACAGACTGAGTTTCAGGCCACACATTAACAAGACAGCAGGTAAAGCAGCAACGACTGGATCCAAGTTCTTCACGCTTATGCCCAATGTAGGCGGACAGAAAGAAGCAAAGCGGCGACTGATTTCTAATGCGGTTCTATCGAAGATGTTGCATAGGCGGCTTCTCTAGAGAAACAAGCCACCAGGAAAAAATAACGGATAAAAATCAAAGGAGATTGGCTATCAGAGTGGTATCAGCGTATAAGACGATATCTAACTGCACAGTTTTAATGTTGGCGGGAATGCCTCCCGTAGACTTAGTAGCGAGGGACAGGGTGAGAACTATCAGCCCCTTAAGGATTGAAAGGCAAAGGAAGGATCGCTCCCCCCAAAGTAGATCGACACCATTAAGGAGGGAAACCGATGCACGCTACTGAAAGAGTGGCAAGAAAGATAAGACGTAGAAACAACGCAAATGGACTTATCGAATGATACCTAATGTAATAGAGTGGGTGGAAAGAGGCCATGGAAAGGTGAACCTGAATCAGGCGCTGTCGGGACATGGCTGTTATAATAAATACCTGTACGAATACAAGCTAAAAGCCAGAGATATGACCACTGCCAAACCGATACAGATGACCCCATGCACACCCTATTCCAGTGTAACGCATAGAACCAGAATGACAAGATACAGAGAACTGGGAGAAACGGTTTCCTCTACAAATCTTGTTAAAATGATGCTTCCCTCCGAAAAGAAGTGGAATGCAATAGAAACAATGATCACATATACCATGAAAAAGAAAGGAAATAGAAATTGAGTAGTAAGAGCTCTAGCTACCCGCCTCCCCCCCCCCCACGAAGTAATGTCTGACAACGGTTTTTCCATGGAGGTGACAATATGGCTCTAGCGAAAAGAGTTTAGGTTTTAGTCGGTAGACCAGCAGGGAGTCCTACATAACCGGTTCACCGGAAAATATAAAATATCTCCCCTCAATAATAATAATAACAACAACAATAATAATAACAACAACAACAATAATAATAAAAACAACAATAATAATGATAATAATAATTGAATATAATGAAATGGAATCGAATGGAATTTGAATATATATTTTAGTAAATACATTGACATAGTGTACATCCATAAAACTATCACCATAAAAATAACAATAACAGACATAAAAAGAAAACTTAAAATAAGATTGGCAAAATTATTAAGATACTTGTAAAACTACAGTTTATTTTATTGATGAAATTTACCCAATGTACTAGAAATCTCATTAGAGTACACTCCTGAACCTCTTTAAGTGCTATTATAATTAAAAAAAGACAACTAATAATATTAATGATAATAATAATAATAATAATAATAATAATTATTATTATTATTATTAATATTATTATTATTTACCCACGCAAATCACAAAAGAAACACTTAACTGATTAAAATTTACAAAATTAAAACAACAAAACCATTTATAATTAAATAATATTATTGAAGGTAATGGACAAATAGCAATAACAAAAAGAAGTTAACATCATTAGAGTAATCAAAACAACATAACAAAAGTAAATAATATACTAATAATTAAACAAAGTGAAAAAATAATAAAAAGTAATTTAAGTGTTGACATTGTCATTAACAATAATTAGTCCCTAGGAAGTTGATTATACAAAGCAGTTGTTTAAAATTATGTTGTGTATAGAACTTCAGGTTAACATGATCAAAAATACAGTACAGCAATATCAGACTTTCTACTATTAACAGACAATTAATGGTAAATTTAAGATATAAATTATAAATTGCAAAAGCATTTTATCATCAACTAACTACACAATTAACATTATCAAAATTACAATACAACAATAGTAAACATTCTATATTCCACAATTATTTTCTAATTTAACATATGAATTATAAATTGCAAACACATATTTTCATTAACTGCAGATTATTATTTAAAAAACAAATAAATTCATAAATAAATACATTGTAAAAGTGCAACAGACAACAGGCAAAAAAGAGATGGCCTTTTACTTAAGTAACAAATATACATCATATTGTAGGTAAAGTCTGTTTTTGGCTTGTTTGTTTTATAAATAATTAATTATTTTGTTTTGTTTTCTCTTGTGCTTTTTGTTTTTGTGTTTTGTCTAGTAAACCATTATTTTAGTTGCTTTGTCAATTCTCTTTTGTTTGTAATTTCTATAATTTCATCTGGCAGTGAGTTGAACAATTTTGGAATAGCTCTTTTTTAAGCATTCTCTCTCCAAATTTTATTAAAAGTCTCTGGTAATATGAAATTTTGTTTCTTTCTAGTTTCATAATTGGGCCCACTGTTTTTTTTTACATTCTTCATTGAAAAAAATTTCTTCCTAAAATTTTAAATTTGTGCAATTTTCTAACAGTCATGATTCCATGCACTGCTGTATACACTTCCAGGGTTAGGTTTGTTATATTAATTTTTTCATTGAGAATTTTAATGTACTTGTTCTGCATTTTTTGTATAATATCTACATGAGTTTTTATGCCGCTCCCCATACTGCAATTCCATATCTGATCAGAGTCTCTATTAACAAAAAGTACAATGTTATGTTCAAAAGAGAATTGAAAAAGAAACCAAAGATGGTTTACTACACAAAACATAAAAACAGAAAGCACCTCAGGAAACAAAACAAAATAATTAATTATTTATAAAAACAAACAGGATAAAAACAGATTTTCCATACAATATGATGACAGTTTGTTACTTCAGTAAAACACAATCTCTTTTTTGCCAGTTGCCTGTTACATTTTGCCTGTTGCATTTTGCCTGTTGCATTTTGCATGTTGAATTTTGCATGTTGCATTTTGCATGTTGCATTTTGGATGTTGCATTTTGCATGTTGCATTTTGCATGTTGCATTTTGCATTTTGGATGTTGCATTTTGCATGTTGCATTTTGCATGTTGCATTTTGCATGTTGCATTTTGCATGTTGCATGTTGCATGTTGCATTTTGCATGTTGCATTTTGCATGTTGCATTTTTACAATGTATTTATTTATTTGTTTTTTTTAATAATAATCTGCAGTTAATGACTGCTAATTTGATAATTTTATAAGATAAAAATCGCTAATCCTCATTATTTTCGCCACACGTTTTTATTTTCATTTTTTTTGCTTAAATCCAAAATCTGCCCTCTACAGCTTAGATTTTGATCAAAAGTTATTCTTAAATACATCAGTTTACATATAGAATGAATTATACTATTACATTGAGAGTTCTTAAAGTTTTTGTGTATAAAATCGGCTTTGTGAAAGAATATTTTAACTTGTGTTCTTGGAATTTTTCGTGCTGTGATATGCAATTTTTTAGTATTTTTCTCATTTATTATTGGCCCTTTGTCATGGCACCATTTTTGGAATATTCCAAATTTTTCTTGTAACTCTTTTTCTGCCTTCTTTGGGCTCTGTTTATGGATTATAACATCTTATTATCCGCATATATTTGATGGGAACCATCTTCTAGATAATTTTTTAAAGTCATTCACAAATATTAGGTAAAGTGTAGGACCTAAGAAAATTCCTTGTGGGATTCCAATTTTAACAGTTTTTGTTTCATCGTAAGTATTATTGAACTCTAAAAGATATCC